TCTCTCTCTCTCTCTCTCTCTCCCTCGTAAAAGGTGTCTCGGGCTAACAAAACACTGTTATAGGCCTATAATCACTAAAGGCCTTTAATCACTTCCGTCTGTGTCAGTCGAGTTAACAGACAAACACACGCACACAAGGACAAAGTGAGACACACACAGACAGACACAACCACACACACACAACCAAACACACACAACCACACACACACAGGCACATACGCACACAACTATACACACAAGAACAGACAGACACACGCACACACAGGTACAGATACACACAGACACACACACACAACTGCGCACACACAGACAGCCACACACACAAACACAGTCACACAAAAACATATAAAGACAGAGGCCTGAAAGTGGTCCCAAAACACCTTTGCCTTGCCTGCCACACTCACACACAGGCACACACATAGACACGAACAACCACACGCACATAGACACAGATAAACGTATTCCGGGGTTTTCCGAAGGCTCAAACATGTTCCGGGACATATTCTTTCAAACCTGAGCGAACATATTGTTTTCTACTGAACTGGTGTACCTCCCTGACACAAGTTGATTGTATTCTTACTTAAAATAACATATTCTTTTTGCTAAGGGTATTTTTGTGAACTCAAAATTGATGTTCAGTCCTGAAAATTAGTTTTCGAAGATCTTGGTTTTCACCTAGCTGCTGAACATGGTCGCCTGCGGCGCACTTAGTGCCAGCGGATTGTGATTAGCGGGGTCTTTGACCAACACGGGTGTGAGTGTGAGCGCGAGTGGGTTGTGTGTGGTGTGTGGGAGAGTCTTGGCCAAAGCCTCTGCTGCTTCTTGGTGAAGGGTGGGGGACGATGAGAAAGGGCTACACAACTACTGGCAGGTCTTGGTCTTTGTGTTAGGGTCTTTGTCTTACGGACGATGAGTTAACGACAAATGTTTGTGGTCTGTGTTTGGGGTCTTCACCCTTAGAAAGAAAGGAAAACAAGAAGGAAAAAAAAAACTCACCACATGCACACACGCACGCACACGGATGTGCATAAACACACACATGATTGGTTGATTGGTTGATTGATTGATTGGTTAGATCCACCAGCCTCAAGTACGCAAACACAGACACGCAGACACAGACACACACACAAACAGAGAGGCACACACACAAGAATGCAGGCACACAGACACACACAGACACACTGTCACACAAACACACAGACATGAAGACACTGGCTTCAAGTTGTCGAAAAATTTCCCTAGAACTATTGGAGGCCTTTAATCACTTCCGCTTGCGCCAGTCGTGTTCGTACACAGACACACGCACACAAGGACATAGTTAGACACACACAGACACACGGGCACATACACACACAACGACACACGCACACAGACACGCACACGGACATGGACACAGACACATACACACACAAACCCATTCAACAACACACGCACACAGACACATACGGACACACTGACACAGTCCGTGTCCGTGTTCGTATGTTTTTTGTGTACCACACACGAACACAGACTCAGCCCGTGCCCATGTTTTCATGAGCATGTGTTTCTGTGTGTTTGTGTCTATTTCTGTGTGTATGTCCTTAAGTGTGTACACTGGCACAGACTAACAACACAAGCACACACACACAAAATAAAGTTCCCAATAACTGTTATAGGCCTATAATCACTTTCGTCTGTGCCAGTCGAGTTTACACACAGACACACACACAGAAGGACACAGTTAGACACACACAGACAGACACAACCACACACACACAACCAAACACACAGGCACAGATGCACACAACCACACACAGATAC